ACAAGTCCCTTGATTCAATGAGCTTATATTCCAGGAGGCATATATCAGATTTTTATCATTAAATCTAATTAATAAAAGGTAATAATGTATAAAGAGCAATAGCTGTAATAGAAGAACAAAAAACACAAGGAAGAAATAAACATTTAAAAGCTAACTTAAGGGACACCTGGTGATTGAGCAGTTGAGAGTCTGCCTTCAGCTCAGGGCATGATCTTGGACTCCAGCGATCAAGTCCCACATTGATCAAGTCCCATCCCCTGCATGGAGCTGGTTTCTCCCTCTGCCTGTGTTTCTGCCTCTCTCTCTCCCTCTCTTTCTCTCTCTCTCTCTCTGTCTCTCACAAATAAATAAATAAATCTTAAAAAAAAAAAAGTGGTCTCAAGGCAATGATCACATCCCAAGTGCTGCCAGTAAAACATGCTCACAGGGTCAAGACTTCAGGGCTGTGACTCTAAGGCTCTGAACAGCATGGAGAAATTGAGATACTTAGCCTTTCTAGCATCCCAGGTAATACCATCCTTTCAGCTGACCTCTCCATGGTGCCATTCATGTGAGTAATGCCCCATTTATTTTTGGATATTCCAGCTTAATTGAGCTCCCAAAGGACTCCAGCCCCAGTCAATATCACAAGGAGCAGAAGAACCACTCAGCTAACCTCAAGCATTTCGCAGAATCATGTAAAAATAATAAAAAGGTTTATGTTTTAAACCACTAAGTTTGAGGGTGGTTTATTATTCAGTAATAGATCAGCAAAATGCCAATTATAAATCATTTGAAGCTGAAGACTAATAAGGAAAGAATAAGGAAAGAAATCTACAATAAACTTATGGATGGCCTAAAAATCAGTGGTGGAATAATAATAGTCAGTGGTTAATAATTCCATTAACCCATATTTTATTATCTCTTTTTATTTATATTCAGTTTTACGTAGTTACAATTATTATATGCATAGTTTTTATACTGGTTTTGTTTTGCCTGGTATCACATATCAAAATTTTTTTTAAGATTTTATTTTTCATTCATGAGAGACACAGAAGGGAGAGAGGCAGACACAGGCAGAGGGAGAAGCTGTCTCCCTGTAGGGAGCCTGATATGGAACTTGATCCCAAGACCCAGGGATCACAACCTGAACCAAAGGCAGATGCTCAACCACTGAGCCACCCAGGTGCCCAACATATCAAATGTTTTTATGTTAATACGTAGTTGTGGGCAGCCCAGGTGGCTCAGCAGTTTCGCACCGCCTTCAGGGGATCCTGGAGACCCAGGATAGAGTCTCACGTCAGGCTCCCTGCATGAAGTCTACTTCTCCCTCTGCCTGTCTCTCTCTCTCTCCTTTCTGTGTCTCTCAATAATAAATAAATAAAATCTTTAAAAAAATACATAGTTGTAATAAAGACCTACAGACGTAAGAACTAGAAATAGCAGGTCAAAGTGGAGTTACGAGGTTGAATAATTTGACCTAAATGGATGCTTTGGCCCAATACAAAAAGCCAAAGCAGGAGACAGTGACCCAACAAGGAATGGATATGAGAAGAGGATCACAAGAATGATTTCAGAATTCAACAGGGAAAATATTTTTTTCTTTCCTTTTTTTTTTTAGATTTTTATTTATTTATTTGAGAGAGAGAGTACAAGAGCAGGGGGTGGAAGGGCAGAGGAGGAGCTGAGAGAGAGAGAGAAACTCAAGCTGACTCTCTGCTGAGAGCAGAGTCCAACTCAAAGGGCTCAGTCCCAGGACCCTGAGATCATTACCTGAGCCAAAATCAAGAATGAGGGGCTTAACCAACTGAACCACCCAGGTGCCCCAGGGCAAAGATTTTTGATGCTAAGATAGTATGACTCAAAGAGAAATTGTCAGCATGCCAGACTTGCAACAACAGAGAAAGAAAGAGTATTGATTAGAGTCTTAACCTTGAAGTTAAAGTGTCAAGAGTGGAAGGGCAACAGAAATTCCAAGGGTTCCAAGGACAATGAGCAGAGAGAAAATACCATATATGTGATCTACAATATATAAAGAACTCCTCTAAAAAGAAATGAGCAACTCAGTAGAAATTAGCAAGGATCTGAACATAAAGTTCACAGACAAAAATATAAATGACCGGTTAACATATACAACATGTTATGATCCTCTGATAATCAGAAAACAATTAGATGCTATTTTTCTCATAAGTAAAAAAGATTGATACTGTTGAGCAATGAGGAGATTGTAAGAAAGCACATCCTGTGATAGATGGTAATAGGAGCCTAAAATGGTACTGTTATTTTGGAGGGAATTCAGAAACTCTTAACAAAATTTAAAATATGCATGATCCTCCCTTTGATCCAGCAATTGCACCACCAGAAACCTATCCTACACACCAATAAAAATTAATTTATAAAAAAAGAAAAAAAAATTACAGGAAGCCTAAAAAAAAAAAAAAAGAAACCTATCCTACAAAAACACTCCTATAAGTGCACAAAAATATACATTCATTGAAGCATGTGACTCCCAACTGGGATGAAAAGTTTCATGAGAGTGGGAAGTTTGTCATCCACTACTGTGTTGTCAATAGTAGATTGCTGCCTGGAAAATAGTAGATGCTCACCAAATATTTACTGAATGAATGAATGGGACTGAAAATTGGTAACTAATTTTCTGTCCAAAGAGATACCTCTAAGCTATGGAATACCATGAGCTGTTAAAAAGAATGAGGTAAATCTACCTGTGCTAACACTGAAAGATCTCCAAGGACATGTGTTTAATTAAAAAAAAAAAAGGCAGTAAATAAAAAAAAATTGGAAACAACAAATTCCATCATCGAAGGACTGATTCACTAGATTGTGATTTAAATACATGTAATACTGGGTATCTCTTTTGAGTTGGCCTTGATCTATATCTATCATTGTTGAAAGACGTCTGTAACACTGCATTTCCAAAAATGAATGCATTATGAGCACTCATACAAATCAGGATTATTCCTCTTGTTCCTCAGAATTCCCACCTGTGGTAGGTACCATCTCCATTTGCCAGCTGAGAGCAAGACAGCACAGAGAAAGTCAGTAACTTGCCTGAAATAACACTGAGGCAGAGCCAAGATCTAAACCCAAGCAGTGCACCTCCTGAGTTTGCACACTTAAACCACCCAAGGATAAAGAGACCATATGTTCTGGTTAAGTCTATTGACTCAGCATAATTATGAACAGCATCTCCTTCCCTTTCAAAAGTCTTACATGTAGTCAATAAATTACGGTCACTCTAGCTAACAGAACATATATAAGCTGCATAGTGTAGTGGCTGAGTTCAGTTTCTGGAGCCAAATTGTGGACAATTAACTCAAACTCTACTTCAGTTTGTTCAAATGTAAAATGGGGATGGCAGTGGTAAGTGCCTCGTATAGTTGTTGAAGGACTCAATGATTTGTTATTTAAGTGGCTGGAACATATACCATATTAATGACTAACCCATTTATATAGTGTCTGTATGTTTGTGTGTGTGTGTGTGTGTGTGTGTGTACACATATTGTGAGATACTTGGAAGGATATTCAAAAATATTAACAATACATATCCCCTGTTGATATTTTTGAACATGTACACATATACATATGTATATGTTGGATATATGTGTGTGTGTGTTTGTATGTGTGTACTACTAAGTGCCCTGACAAACATTAGGAAGGCTTGTGGTTTCTGTGATGCATCTTGCTTGCTATACACTGGTGATAATCTATCCAATAGTGCGAATTTATCAGAGATAACTGAACAACAACAACAACAAAATTTTAAACGGTTACATTACATTGGAAATTCAAAGACCGCTTTTATCATCACCGTGCCAGATGGGCTATAGCTTGATTTTATTGGAACTTTTAAGAATGACCTAAAGGAATGCCTCACCTTCTGGTTTCTCAATTAACTCGGAAACAAAGCACTTAAGGGACCCTGGCAATCTTTGGCCTTGAAAAATGTGCAAGCCAGACCTCCGGGATCTGTATTAGAATACATGGGCTGAGAGCACGCGGGGAGGCGGGGCGGGGCGGGGCGGGGGAGGGGTGGGGTGGGGTGGGTTGGGATGCGGATTGTACCGCTCAGCTCCGGAGTTGCAGGTGTTTCTGGCAGGTGGGATCAGTTGTGCAACCTCGAGCTCACAGCAGAAACCCTGACTGCCAGGGCCCCCCTCGGGCAGCCAGAGAGAGAGCTTTCTTACCTCCCCCTGGCCCTACTCTGTGTACAACTTCAAAAAAATGAGTTCTCTGGGTGAAACCAAACCCTGGGAAAGGAAGTCCAGAAAGCGAGCGGTTCCCCTTGCGGGGGAGATAAGGAGCTAGCTGGCAGGAGGCACGAGGAACCGTCCGGAAAGTGTCCACGGACTGCCGTGGGCGCTGTTCTCAAGGTCTGTGCAGATCCATCGGACAGATGCACCTTACGGTGTAAATTTCATCTCCGTTCTCAAAGTTGTTCTTGTTTTGGGTCTGTTACTGAGATCTCTGATCCCCTGTAGCTCTGGGCGCGCAAGCAGTTGTGGATTTGTGAGAACTCACCCTGGCGGTCTGACCCTCCTGGTGCCCCCCACCCCACCCCGCGACCCCCTGCCCGGGCCGCAAGCCACTCAACCAGGTGTCAGCTGTGACTCTCTGGGGGCGCTTTCGGGCCGGGGACAGCCAGCAGAAACCCCATGCCTAGCAGAAAGCGCTTTCGATCCCCGCGCCTACCGGTTGCCCGCGTCCCAGCAGCGCGGCGGCGAGCGCAGCGGGGCTTCGGCTCGGGGCCGCCCGGCCCGGGCGCAGGAGGCGCGGGTCCCCGCCGGGGCTGGGCGCCCCGAGCTCGTGCGGGGGGCGCGGGAGGGCAAGGCCGCGCTGCCTGCTCGGCGCTGGCCAGCCGGCCGGCTCTCTGCTGACCCGGTTAATAAAAGATGCTTTGTTGCGCGCGCGCGCCCGGTGCCCAGCTGTGCCCGCCCCCGTGCCCCCCCGTGCCCCCCCCGTGCCCCCCGGGGCCCAGCCGAGCGCCACGGACGCGGACTCACCGCAGCTCAGGTCGCACGACCTGAGTGTACGTGTAGCACCGTCCCAAGAGGATCTCGTAAAAATGGGCAGTGGTGCCCGGCCCCTTCCACTCCTTGTGCTTGGGCGGCTGGCGCCACATCAGGATCCCGACCGACACCGCGATGCCCACCACAATCAGGAGAACAAAAAGGACACAGAGACAGATCTGGGCTTTTCTGGAAATGCCGCAGCAGGGTTTCTCCTCCTCGGACACGGAACTGAATCTGTGGTTGGCCATGGGGTCCGCTGAGGGGTCTGGCGGGCAAAGTTGGAGGAGAGAGCCGCCCCGGGGCCGGTCAGGGAGCGAGGAGAGAGAGGGCTAGCCGGTTCTGAAACTGCACCTCCCCTTTATCTTGCACTTGTCTTTTCTCGGCTTCCTTTCCCACTCCCACCCCCTTCCTCCAAAGTTCCGTGACCGGCTGGACCAATAAGGACTTAAAGAACTGGAAAGACTCTACTACTACAGCCACTCACTGCCAGACTCCTGAGCAGACAAGGACCGGACTTTGCATTTCCAGGGAGAAGCGGCCACCTTACGCTTTCTCTGCAGGTGCCTGCAAAACAAACAGCAATCCCTTATACTTACTTCTCGGCCAGCAAGCTTTATCAGACTTGCAATTTACACTTCAGTCACACCTGATGCTAGAAAGCGTCAAGGCTTGGCTCAAGGCTTGGCTGCCTGCCTCTGCACCTGCCTGCAAGCAATGTCTGCTGCCTGGGAAAGGTTGCTCTACCTCTCCTTCTTCGCCTTGACAAATGCCTGCCTGCTCAGCCCCTTTCAAAAGCTCTACTCAAGCTTCACCCCTTCCCCTTAACTCAAGTGACATCAGTTGTTAAGCCTGGGTTCAAATCCAGCTCCGCCACCCACTACTGGAGCCGTATGGGGCAAGTTACTTGATGGCTCTGTGCTTCAGATGTAAAGCAAGGATTATAGCATCTACTTCGTGAGGTATGATGAAGACGAAGTGAGTTTATAGTTACCATGTGTTTGGCACAAATGCCTGGCACATGCTAAGCACTCAATAAATATTAGCTATTACTACCTGCTCTGCGAGGCACGTCCTCTCTCAAGGTTCCTTAGCACTAGGACCATCTGTGACATTTCCGCAGAGACCTAAGGAAAGTGAAAAAACAAGCCACAGGACTTCCTATGGCAAAGGTTTTCCAGACAGAGGGAATAGCAGAAGTAGTGGCTGAGACAAAACAAACAAAAAAAAACCTCTGAGGCAAAAAAGGAGAAAAAAAGAAAAGAAAAGTTCGTTCCTTAGCCCATTCCAGGAGCACCATGGAGGCCATTGGAACTGGAATGCAGGGTTAAGGGAGGCAGAAGAGAAAAGAAGTTCTGAGGTTAGCAGAGGGCCAGATCACCAGAAGGACTTTTTAGACAGTGAATTTTATTTTTAACCCATTCAAGGTCACTGGGTGACTTGATTAGGCATGACATTTTAAAGGCTCAATCTGAGGGCACCTGGGTGGCCTTTGGGTCAGATGGTGATCCTAGGATCCTGGAACGGAGTGCATCAGACTCCTCATGGGGAGCCTGCTTCTGCCTCTGCCTATGTCTCTGCCTCTCTCTGTGTGTCTCTCATGAATAAATAAATAAAAATCTTGAAAAAAAAAATAAAGGTTCAACCTGGCTTCTGTATTGAGAATAAACTGTAAGGAAGTAAGGATGGAACGGTGAAGACCGGTTATGAGGACTTTGACCAGGGGAATAGTTATAAAAGTGGCAAAGAAAACAAGCAATTGGATTCTGGATACACTTTGAAGGTAGAAACAACAGGTTTTGCTGATAAGTTGGATTTGGGGTTTGCAAGAAAGAGGAGTCAAAGAGGACTCCATAAATTTTGATCTGAATAACTGACCAAGGGAAGGACAGCACTGGCATTTATAGTGATGGGAAACAAGGATGAAGGAGATTTGATTTGGGAGAAAAGGCACCAGACAAAAATTTGGTTTTGGAGGTAAGTTGAAGATGCCAATTAGACCCCTAGGAGGAGACATCAAGTAGTTAATTGAGTATAAATATCTGGGATTCAAGGGGTCAGTGCTGGAAACACAAATATGGGAGGCTTTATCATACTGCGAGTTTTTAAAGCCAAGAGGATAAATAAGATCACATAGAGAGTGTGTGCAGAAACAGCAGTTCCAGAGACTCAGCCAGGCGGTTGCCTGTGGCAGAGATCAGAAAGATGAGAAGAGCTCCAGCAAAGGGAGCTGGCAAGAGTGACCCCTGACACAAGAGGCTGAGACCAGATAGGGAGTCACTGGTGCTCTTGACAAGAACAGTTTCAGAGAAAATGTGGAGGACAAAGCCAGATGAGAGTAGGTTCATGAGAGTGTGTGAGAGGAGAATGTAGTATCAGTATGCAAGATGACTCTTTTTTTTTTAAGATTTTCTTTATATATTCATGAGAGACACAGAGAGAAAGACAGAGACATAGGCAGAGAGAGAAGCAGGCTCCTTGCGGGGAGCCCGATGTGGAACTCATTACCGGATCTCCAGGATCATGCCCTGGGCCGAAGGCAGATACTCAACAACTGAGCCACCCAAGCATCCCTCAAGATGACTTTTGAAGAGTTTTCTGTCAAAAGAATAGAGAAATGAGGACACAGCAAAAGGACACTGTGCAGTCAGGAGAGAACAAAATGTTCTCACTGCTTGCTTACTGCATGTCAGGAGGGACTTACCTATTGTCTGTAGGATGACTGGACAGCCCAAGACATAGGCAACAGTTGATAATGCAGAAGAGGGGGAAACTGCTTAAAAACTTGCAAAAAGCTCATGTAGAGGTGAGAAAAACCCGAGGCACAGGGGCATATGTGTAGACTCTGCTACCTCATAAAAGGAAGGTGAAAACTGTGGCTTTTAAGAGTTCAGTTAGTGGGTTAGCTGATAGTGACATGTGAGCATCCTCTTTTGACTACTTCTCAGTGAAATGAGGTCACCCATCTACTGAGAGTGGGTGAGGGCTTGTAATGGCAGGAGACCAGCAGAGTGGACAGAGCAGGGAAACGAGAGGTTCTCAGGGTATCAGGAAGTGGTCAGGAATTTAAAGAAAGGTCAGTCAGGGGCACCTGGGTGGCTAAGTGGTTGAGCGTCTGCCTTTGACTCAGATCATGATCCCAGGGTCCTGGTATCCAGTCCCATATCGGTCTCCCCGCAGGGAGCCTGCTTCTCCCTCTGCCTGTGTCTCTGTCTCTCTGTCGCTGTCTCTGTCTCTCTCTCTCTCTGTGTCTTTCATGAATAAATGAATAAAATCTTTTTAAAAATTAAAAAAAAGAAAGGCCAGGCAATGAGGGGGCACTCTTCTGTCTGGCTACTCCCCGCAGCCCAGGAGAAAGGGCAAAAGTAAGCAGAGAGTGGGATTTGATGAGGTTGGGGTTTGCTGGATTTGCCAGGGCTGAAATAACAAAGCCACACAGTCTATTGTGGCTCAACCAACAGAAATTTATTGTCTTCCAGTTCTGGAGGCTGACATCAAGGTATCCACGGGTCTAATTTCCTCTGAGGCCTCTCTCCTTGGCTTGTGTCCTCACATAGTCTTTCCTTTGTGTATCCACATTTCTCCATTCTATTTTTTTATGCTTTTTTATTTTTTTTAAATTTTATTTTAGTTTTTTTAGTGGGGGGTAGAGGCAGAGGAAGAGGAAGAGAGAGAGAATCTTAAGCAGGCTCCATGCCCAGCACAGAGCCCAACATAGGGCTCGATCTCACAACCCTGAGATCATGACCTGAGCTGAAATCAAGAGTTGGATGCCTGACTTACTGAACCACCAGGCACCCCTCTCCTTTCCAATTTCCTCTTCTTATAAGGACACTAGTTTTTATCAGATTTGGGCCCACAGTAATGACCTCACTATAACTTAATTACTTCTTTAAAGGCCCTGTCTTCAAATCCAGTCACATCCTGAGGGTTAGGAAGTTAGGACTTCAACACATGAAGTGGGGTCAGGGCACCATTCAGCCCATCACACCAGGTAAGTACAATGGAGTAAGAGAAAAGGAAGGAAGGAAACAAAGATGGGATTTTAATAATTGACTGTCATACCAAAGTCCCACAGAAAATGAAGTAAGGGCAGAAGGAGGATTCGAGACACTGGAAAAATGAGAACCCTTGACTGGGATGTCCTTATGAGACCAAAATGTTGCCAAAAGGAGGGAATATCTCTACTTATAAATCACTCCATCCAAAACTCAACTGTTAATCTTCCTCTTTCAAGCTGACTTATTTTCTGTTTGTTTATTTGTTTTAGTAAGCTCTGTGTCCAAGGTGGGGCTCAAACTCATAACCCTGAGATCAAAGCCTCATGCTCTACTGAGTCAGTCAGGCACCCCTTCTTTTCTGGTCTTTTGAAATCTGGTAAAAAGAACCTAAATCCCTGCCTGATTGCTTAAGCTAGGAATGTCCAACTATTCTGTGCTCTTTGCCTCTTCTTCATCCCACACATCCACCTAGAAGTTGGCTTCTCTGCCTAAAAGTTATTAAGTATCCACTTTGTTCACCTCCACTACCACTGGCTTCGTGCCAGACAGAGTCTACCCTCTTCCTCACCTACAAAGGACTTCCAACCATTCTCCCCAAACCCACCCTCCCTACCTCCTCCATCCATTCTTTCCAGACAAGATGGTGGCTTCCTTTTAAGCCAATCTTTGGGGCACCTGGGTGGCTCAGTGGTTGAGCATCTGCCTTTGGTTCAGGGTGTGATCCTGGGCTCCTGGGATCAAGTTCCACATTGGGCTCCCTGCAGAAAGCCTGCTTCTCCCTCTGCTTCTGTCTCTGCCTCCCTCTCTGTGTCTCTCATGAATAAATAAATAAAATCTAAAAAAGAAAAAAAGCCAATCTTTTATAAAGAAGTAACTTTGGAAACATAATTCTGATTACCTCACCTCTCCACTTGCTCTAGACATAACAAGCATGTAAACCCATGGCTCCTCCTCCTCCAGCCTGCATGAGCATGTGTCTCTTCAACCCTAGAGCACTGCAGGCCTGCTGGCCTTCTCTCTGTCCCCAACTAGCCCAAGCTCTTCCCTGGCACAGAGGCCATTCCCTCTGCCTCCTAACTCCTACTGATCTCCTTCAATGCCATGTCCTCAGGAAGTAAGCCTTTCCTGATCCCATGTAGTTACCAAACTGGGTTCCATTTCCAAATGGAACACTTTCCTACCAGAATAATACAGATGCCAGTAGATCTCTTGGACAGATCTCAAAAGGTCTGGTCTGGACAGCCTAGCCCTGGAACACATCCTCTGAAATTTTTTTCTAGATGTCCTCTCCCAACTAGACTAGGAATTTGCACAAGGCTAGGTTGGCAAAAATTAAAATTTATTCTCTTAGTATCCCAGGACTCAAAGTGCTATCCACAAATGGTTGCTGAATGAATAAATGAATGAATGACCAACAAAAGTTTTACTTTCCGCACCCATTATTCCACCCTTTCCAAATCAAATTCATACAGTTATTCTCACAATCCCGCATCTAAGCAAAATTATGTGGAAATGGGATGAGAAATGTTGGTTTTGCTGGGGGTTCATTTATCAGCTCTCT